ACCACTAAAGTTAAGTTGACACCACCACCCCATTTAGGACGGTGTTAAAATACTGTTCTGCTGGTCACTATTGGACAACATTATTATGCCTTTTTGTGTTATGGTGGATTAAGTTAGATTCTACTGTTGCTCATGTAGTTTTTTTAAGGGTTGTATTACAGTATAAGGCTGATTCTGAGTTTTGGGAGGAAGTTGCTGGGTTTGTTTTATGAATTTTTATTGTGAACTATTTAGAGCAAGTATGTCTACCCAGCAGCCCATTGGCCACATTCAACCCTAGACAACTAGTAAAGTGGCCCTCACAGGATGGTAAACTTTTAACATTATCATGTGATTTATATACGTTAACTATATTATATATTTGTCTTACAACAGTTTATTTAAGACTGTTCAAAGTTACAGTGGCACTGAAAAAAAGTGACTTGTGGCTGTTTTTGACCGTTGTGCCATCCCTGTGGTCATGTGATCAAAATTCAGGGGCTTGGCAACTGTCTCATTTATGACCTTTGCAGTATCCCGGGGTCATGTGATCCCCTTTTGTGACCTTTTGACAAGCAAAGTCAATGAGGAACCCAGATTCACTTTGCAGCCATGTTACTAAATTAACAATGGGAGTGATTCGCTTAACAAATGTGGCAAGAAAGGTCATAAAATGGTGTTCTGATCCAACCCCTTTTCCTATAAAACAAACACGAACCAAAGGGAACAGAAACCTTTTAATGATTCTTACGAATCCCTGGTTAAAAGGCTGCTGCAAACTAATTATCTTTGATAAACACAAGCTTCACCAAAACTGTGCAAGGCTGCCAAGAATAACAGATAAGAAATATTTCACAACACAAGAGTCTTCAAATACCAACTTAAGATACTGCAGTGTCCATGAGGCTGAGTTTCAAAATGTCTTTGCTTCCTACAAAGAACGTTTGCTTCACAGCTGGCTTTTATCTTCTTGAAGGAGGGGCCATTAACTTGCAGCCTTACTCCCGTGCTGCTGCAACTGCTCTTTCCTGTGAGCAACCCTGTGCGCACGCGCACTTGGCACAGGCTCCTCGGGAACCTCCTCATCTCTGCTGCCAGCCCCCAAAATTGCTGAAGGCAGCAATCCACTCCCTAATGGTCCTGGCCCCTCATCTGAGTCCTCGCTCTCCTCAGCTGTCCATACCTGTTGCTGGCTAACCACAACACATGGGGCAAAATTCACATAACAAATGTCTCACTTAGCAATATAAATTTTGGGCTCAATTGTGGTCATAAATTGAGGATTACCTGTATATGTGGCCCAAGATCATTTCTCTTCATTCAATGCAGCCAAAGCAAGCCAAAAGGTTGAGCAGCCATGAGCTAGATTTTGGGGTTTGATTAGGGTGTATAGTACTGCATGGAAAACATGTAGGTGCTGCCATGGAAAACAAAGGTTTCCATCAAGACCTTTTAATTTTTTTATGATAATTAAACTTTTAAAACCTCGCTTCAGATGCAGGCAGGGAGGAGTTATTCTTTCAAATATTAGTGGCCCTAAAATACCAGTAAACTTCATCCCTATGAATTAGCCTTTAAACAAGTTGGAAGTCAGTGTAATTGATGTAAGGCTGGTGTAAAATATTGTAGTCCAAAAAATGTGCACCGATTGCAGTTTCTAAATAGTTTCTAAAGTTGTTTTCCACTAACTCGAACGAAAAAAAAATTGCAACCGAACATGATAGATAAGTTATCTAACAAAAATCAATAACAATTTGAATCAGAAAAAAAGCATGATCTGTGATGGTTGCATTCGGGAGTAGATTAAGTGATGCATGTGTTTATCCTGTGCTCCTTATTTTCCTTCTGCAGAGACATTATGTCTGACGCTTAAGAAACCCAAATGAAATGAAGGGTGAAAAACAGGTTCAGAAAGTATAAATATTTTATTTTCATTGTTTTTCTATTTTATAGCATTTAATTTCCTTCTAAGGTACTGGATGCATTCCATTGCTTGTTCAGCATTTAAATTGACCAAACTTTTTATCATTCTTTATTATTTAAAGGGTTAATTTAATTATTTGGCATATATCTAATTAGAAAACTAGATAATACTAGAACAGTAATTTGTGAGTTAATAATTGCTCATTGGATACTTAGATGGATTAAATCTGAGGCAGATACCACTGAATGCTAATATTTAATCTTTACTTGCACAATAAAGCAGAGGTAAGTAAGGTTTCTTTGTATTAAAGCGGAATAAATGATTGAAGCAAATTTGACAGCCTTAAGTGTTAATAGAAAATTGTTCTTTTGAATGTTAAAAAGGAATTTTTCTTTACTTTTAATTACTGTTCTGGGGAAAGACACCATTCTAATTACAACATATAATCAGTTCTTGTAGCTTATTGTCACATTAATCTGTTACAAAATTATGAACACAACTGATCTGAATTAGCCTGAAAAATACTAAATTTCTGGTGTTTATGTTCTTTATTTGAATAAAACCTCAATAATTTAGCTATACAATTAAAGTACTCTTGTGGAGGGGTTGTATGAATTATAGGAAAAATTATCTTTGGATTTCCAAAATTGTTATCTAGTTATTTTCATTTCATTTGGCATACAACACTAGCCTGATATCTTATCAGGTGGTTGTGTTACTTGGGTTGAACGTCTAGGCAACTCAGGGCTTACTGGTGGACTCTCCTGTTCCACCTGCTCCTGTTCTTCTACCTCCTCCTGCACCTGTTCTTCCTCCTCCTCCTGTGCAGCCATTTGCCAATGATACATGTTGCTTACTCGTGGACATTGTTACAAACCTCTCTCTATTTCTTGTAATGCACTGCGATGCTCCACTATCAACTACCCACAAATCATGGTTTACAGTTGAATTGCTAGACATAGCTAAATTAGCATTCTTCTTAGTCTTCTGGTGATGACCAATATTCTGTCATTTTCCCTTCTTACAGAATCTAGCTATATGTCCCCGAGCCCCACAAGAAAAACATTTCCTAACAGATAGGCAGTTGAACACAAATCCTCTTCTTGTGGTTGTTTCTTCCTCAGTTGGTCCCTATCCAGCCGTCTTCTCGCCTCTTCTAACAACCTTCTAGTTATGTCAGTCAATGTCAGTTTATCTCTGGGCAGGACTTCCAGTGAAGATATGTAATCATCATAACTTTCGTCGAATGAGGAAAGAATGATGTAAACTTGATGCAGCTCTGAAAATATCAGTTCCTTTTCATGTAGCTCTTGAAAAGATCTTTTCATGAAGTTCAAATGAGCTAACATACCTCCACCTTTTAGAAGACATGCTCTAAACAGTTTATGTGTAAAAGAGCTCGTTCGTTGTTCCGTTTAAAGTCAGTTAACTTCTTGGCATCGTCCTCATCATCTGGATCCCAAGCATTTACATCCAGTGGATCCTGAACTACAGTCCATAACCCTTCTCTACGCAGAAGTAGACTGCACTTCATAGACCAGGAAACACAGTGTGTTCCATCCAACCGGTTTATCAGTGATAGACTTGTTGATGGGTCTTGTGCCATCTTTATCAGGATAGTAACCCACAATTAAACAGTAAACAGCTGTCTGTATACGGTACTGTGTATTCACACTAACTCTCATTTATCTGAGCCTGGGCCCATAACCAGTGTTGAGGTAATTCCCCGTTAGGAGAATGAGCGCACACAAGGAGACGTAGTGAGAGTGGTGAGGAATAACACACAACCAGCACACAGATACACTGTATAGTAAAATGTAGGTTTTTACTTCCAGTAAATGGTTAAGCAAAGTCCAACAAGCAGTCCAAGTCATACGCGGTTAAAGCAGTCAGTATTCAGCCCAGGGATAATCCAATAACAAAGTCCAGTATCAAAAACAGTTCAGTAATAGACTCACATCAATCCAAGAAGAACGATGATCAGCAACAGTCAATAGGGAAATGCAGGAACCAAAAGCAGCGAACATCTAGCAACTAGCATCACTCTGGGAAACCAGGTTTTTGGCTCCATCTTATGGCCTTTTGAGGAACCACACCCAATTACAATTTTAGCATTCCCTTAAAGAGACAGTATTAAAATGTCTATCCTGGTTTATATATTTCCAACCCAACTGTTAGGTGAATTACATTTCTAACAACATGTATTTTTTAAAAGTAGAAAACACCTTACAAAATATACTGTAGTTTTTCATAGCAGTAACTGAAAAAGACTTGATGACATAATCCTGTCAACCAATTAGAGAGTAATTTAACTTTCTTTCCAAAATTTCCTTTTTCAACTGATTGTATATTGTTTTATAAGAGAGTAATAGTTCCTTTTTTTCCCTTCTGCTTTCAATGGACAGATTACTGAAAAATCCCTATTCATTACTGTACTTAGAACCAATTACTTGAAATACTTGGAAACCTTTAAAAATATTGTAGGCAGCATACTTTAACATTTCAATGACTACAGGTTTTAAAGTGAATTTGAGCTCAGCTCGTTATGATTCATCCATTAGTGTTACTGAAAGTAGTAATTCTAAGTCTATATCTTGTATAATTTAGCTTCAGTTGGTCTAATTATATTCAAGTGGCTCATAGTTTTAAAAGTGTGGTGGAGAATTATGGAGCAAGTATTTCTACATCACTGGTGCAAGAATTATGTATGGGAAAAATCATATGTAATTATATAACAAATAGTATGTTGTGAACAAAAGTGAAATTCCATTTAACTAAGTTTTACCTCTAAATGCATTATGTCATGATTTTTTCTTTGAATATCTATTATCCTGAATGTAGAGTCTTCTCGATTGCAGTCGTTCCAAAGGGTGCCTGTCCCAGTTGATTATCTATTAGGGAAGAATCTCTACTCCTGTGTCATTACAATTCTTTGACTTACATTGGATATAAAATTTATTTCTGGCCCAAATTCTTCCAGTTAATTTCTTGCCTAAATAGAAGGAAAAATTAAATTTTTCATGCTATAAATCCATTACTGTATTCAATATACTCTACATGTTCCTAGTGTACTAATCCCTGTACAATTATATTCCAGGAGCTTTATTTCAAGACCCTTGCTAAGCAAAAACAAAAGGAAGTAATGGAGAAGAATGGAAACAACCGGAAACTTCGGGTTTGTGTTGCTACGTGTAACAGAGCTGATTATTCAAAATTGGCCCCAATCATGTTTGGCCTTAAAGCAGAAGCACAGTTCTTTGAACTGGATATTGTGGTTCTGGGCTCTCATCTGATTGATGACTATGGGTAAGAGGCATACTTTATTTCTTCAAACATGCTTAACTGGAATGGTGGGGATGGGTTTTCTTAAGATTGTTTTCTTTGTTCCAGGCTGAAAGGTAGTCCTCACTTAATGGCCACAACTGGGCCAGGATTTTTTTTTAAAAAAAGTTTTTTTATTTTTGGACAAACATACACAACAAAACATAAAACATAAAACCATCTTCCAATTACGTAATACAGTGTGTCAGTTGGTTACAAATTTTTTGTGCATCTTCTCCATAATCCTTGCTTACAATTGTTTGTATAGATTCTCATCAATCAAATCTATATGTATACATTAGTATCATTGTTAATCATTTATTTGACTAAACTATTATTCCTTCATGTTATGCAAGTTATTCAAAATTTTAAATTGGTTTATAATATAATGATTCATATTATCATCCTAAATCCATCCAATAATAATACACTTTATATTATATTCTGTAAATTCTATTCTCCTTACATTATAAAATTCTACATATTTCATTACCATATTTTATTTTCTAACCATTGATAAAATAAATCCCATATCTTATAAAATTGTTTATCTTCTTGTTCTCTAATTTCAAATGTCAATTTACTCATTTCAGCACATTCCATTATTTTCTTAATAACTTCCTCCTGCATTGGTATTTTCTCATTTTTCCAATTTTTAGCAAATATAATCCTAGCCGCTGTTAATACATTTACAATCAAATATTTCAATTCTCTACTGTATATTTCCGGTAAAATCCCCAATAAAAATATATCTGGTTTAAAGTCTATATGTTTCTTTGTCATTTTTTCCAACCACTTGTGGATTTTAGTCCAATATCTTTTAGCTTCTGCACATGTCCACCACATATGGTAATATGAACCAGGTATCTGATAATATTTTCAACATTTTTCGGATTTATTCTTAAACATTCTTGCTATTCTCGTCAGGGGTAAGTGCCACCTGTAAAACATCTTATACAGATTTTCTTTATATGCTGTTGACATTGTCATTTTATAATTTTGAGACCACAGTTTTTGCCATTTCGCTAAATAAATCCTATGCCCAAAATTTCCCCCCAAGCAATCATTGTTTCTTTAACTTGTTCTTCTTCTAGCTTAATCTAATAAATGTCTGTATAATTTTTTGATCACTTTTTCATCAGTACCTGTCAAAATTTTATCTAAATCAGTCAATTTATCACAGAAACCTTCTGTTTTAAAATCTTTGTCATATCTAGAGTGTATTTGCACATATGAAAACCAATTCATCCTTATACCTTGTTCTTCTAGTTCTTGCGTAGATTTAAGTTCACCCTTTTCATTCAATATTTCACCATATCTGTTTGTTCCTTTTTATGTTATTGGGTATGAAAATGCTTCAATAGTTGATAACCAGACTGGAATTTTTAAATAGTATTGCTTTTTAGTCTTCTCCCAATTTAATAACAAAGCCTCTCGTATATAGCGTCTTCTGAAATACCCTTGTGTTTTAGTTCCCTTGTAGCATAAGAAGGTGTGCCATCCCAACAACAAATCATGTCCTTCTAGTGCCAATAATCTAGTGTTTCTTAATGTTATCCATTCCTTAACCCACTAAAAATTTGTTGCCTGATAATATAACTCCCAATTAGGCAGGCCAAATCCTCCTCTTATTCTTCTAGCATCTTGTAACAGTTTTGATTTTATTCTCATTTTCTTTCCTTGCCAAATATACTTCAACACTATTTTATTTAAATCTTCAAAATAATATTTCCCTAATCTAATTGTAATTGTCGGGAACAAATATAAAATTCTAGGTAATATATTCATTTTAATTGTTGATATTCTCCCTATTAAAGATTTTCCCATTTTGCCAAAATCTGTTGTTTGAGTTTAAGATAGTTATTCTCTTTAAGTATACTACATCTTGCTGTCAAGTATATCCC